TTTTTTTTTTTTTTTTTTTTTTTTTTTTTTTGTACTTGAGATTGAACTCAGGACCTTGCACTTGTGAGGCAGGAGGCAGCACCACTGAGCTAACTTAGGCACACATAAGTACTTATGATCACTTCCTGGAGAATTTTAGGAATCTTCCTGAGGACTTTGGTCCTCCACTGGTAAGATCTGAATGATGGCCACACATTCTTCAAACCTGCTTACAGCCTCCTTGTTCTGCTTTCTTTTCCTCCACAGGCAAACTCAATTTGTCTGTGGGTATGGTCCTCATTTACTTTCGCTCACCTACCTGCCCCGACCCCCAAACCCCTGGGGACTTCCGTTCACGTAGACCACATTTATCAAAGTCACTGTGAGCTTACTTTCCTGAGTCTAATGTCCTTGTTTAGCAGAGCATTTAACATGCCTTCCTCTTTGAGACAGCGTCTTTGCTTGGCTTTTGTGATGTTCGTTTCCTGCTTTTCCTTCTTTCACTGTCTACTCCTGCTTAGTGTTTCTTAGCATTCTGCTTCGTCCTGTGCTGATGTTTGAAAGATTAGCATGCCTTGGAGCTCTGTTCTCCTGTTCTTGTTTACCTGTATTTTTAAGGTGCTTTCATAAATCTCATGGCTTTAACAGAATTTCAGTGTCGCTAACACCTAAATTCCTATTTCCAACTCCAATCTTTCTCTGGAGCTTCTGGGTCATACGTTTAACTTGACATCAACACATAGATATTTAAGGAAGCATTTCATATTTAGTTTGTGTAAGACATACCTCCTAGTTTCTTTCCACATATGCAAAGCTTCTGTTCTTAAAATTTTAACCATCTCAGCAAATACAAGTAGCAGTTGAAGTACTGGTAGTTGAAGTGCTGCTCAGTGGAAGATGGCAAGCTCAAGGGTTCGACGTGATTAATTTTCCTCCTTACTGGATGGACTCGATCGCTCCTTCCCAGTCTTGTTGCCTGTACTCTTCATTCCCTGTCCTAATCTGTCCATTGCTCTCCACATCTCCTGCTCCCATCCGTTTGGGCTTCCGCAGTGGCCACTGCACGGGACCTCTGCTCTAGTCTGCCTGCCCTATATTCCTCTCTTCACATAGCAGTCGGAGTAATTTTTTTTAAAGTCGAACTCATACAAATGCTTAAAACACTCTTGTATGTCTCATTACACAGGCAATCAAATCCTTACTTTTTTACTTTGACATATAACACTGATTCTTCCCTTCTGCCCCTCTCCCTTTATTTTGTAACATTTCTCTTTTTTCCCTTTATGAGATGATAATTCTGAACCTTGTCTTCTCCTCTCGGAAGTCTTTTTGTCTTGGAATCCACATAGGAAGCTTTTTCTTAATTGATCTTAGCCTAAAAGTGGCTCAAAGCGGCTTTTATCGATCAAAATAAATAGCCACACATTTTTCCCATGCGATACCACTAGATTTTTATTTCTCCAAATATGATTTATCACTGTCACTACCGAGAGAGAGAGAGAGAGAGAGAGAGAGAGAGAGAGAGCATGTGTGTGTGTTGAGCATCAAACGCAGTGCCCCACCTCACACATATAAGCCAAATCCTTTACCTTTGAAATAGCCTTAGTTACCTTTGAAATATATCTTGGTTGTAAGTAATTTTTGAATTTGTCTCTTTTCGTGGGCATGTGAATCCAGAACAGAGATCTTTTATTCCCTTGTTTCCTACTATCTGATGATTACCTAGCACACTGCCAGTCATAGACCAACGCATCACCAGTATTTACTGAGTGAGACAATGCATAAAACTAGAGGACCTTGTATGAATTCTCTACTTCCCAAGAACCTCATTTATAAAATGTTAGCCACATCTGCCTTAACGATGAGCACGAACATTCATTAGTAGCAAAATCTGAAAATATTGAGTATGTCCCAAGTCACCATAGGATAGCCCACAGTAACAAACATCCCTAAATAAGAGTGCCTTAACATAATACTTTTATTTTTTGCTATGTTATTTGTCAGTCACTGATCAATAGCAGTGCTGTTTATAATTACATTGGAAAGTGCCCTGCTAGAGCCATCACTGCAGTGAACAGTTCCCATCACCAAGATAGCGAAATGGGCCAGGGGCCTCCATCAAGCATGAAATGTTCTGACCAGAAAGTGACCAATTTCCCTCATCAACCATTGACTGACGCTAGTCATTGGTCCCATCCAAGTAAAAGGGTGAAGAAAGGCCTTCCTACGTCTCTGTCTCTCTGCTGGAGAAACAGGAGTATTTGATGACAGAGCCTAATACATTCTGTAGGGACTCACACTGAACAGATTCTCAACAGATATAGTTTCTTTTGACGTGAGGACCTGAAGAGTTGTTGACTGATCTTTTTCAATAACAGCTGACGGTATGGTAGGGAAGGTTTCAAAAAATAATTGAAATATTTAGCAAATTGTATTTAGTAGCATAATCGCATGGAGAATAAAATCCAGTAGGAAAAAGACCCTAGATTGCAAAGATCCACTATTGGGTATTATTATTATTTGCAAGCCAGGGGGACATACTGGAATTTACTGAAGTATGTTAGCAGGCGGGGACTTAGAGAAATCCATTAAAAGTTCTTTTTTTTTTTTGGTACTGGGGATTGAACTCAGGACCTTGGGCTTGAGACCGACCTTGCACTTGCAAGGCGGGTAGCAACACCACTGAGCTAAAACCACAGCCCAAGGAATATGGATGGATGAGCTAGCTGGGAGTGGTGGCTCAGGCCTGTGATCCCAGCACTCAGGAGGCTGAGGCAGGAGGATTGCAGTGAGTTCAAGGCCAGCCTGAAGTACATAGCAAGACCCTGTCTCAAAGAAAAACAAACAAAACTACTGAGGAGGGCTAAAGGAATTGTGTTATCTCAGGTGGTCATTTCTCCTCTACAGCCAATTCAAGGCCCTACATTAGACACTTTGATAATTCACTTCAATCTCTGGAATTCTTACTTCGGCATCCATAAAATAAGCTGTTAGGTCAGATATGTTCTTTATTCTCCTAAGTAGATACGATCCTCATCCTGGTCTCTGCCATTTCCTTATTGACAATAAAGACTTTTTCCCTTAAGTAGTCTGTCTACATGATAAATGAGGTGTGTAATAGGTTTGTGGCCTTATAAAGATTTTTTTCAGATGTTTCATTTTGAATACTCCATTTGCCAAATTAATCCTTCTTCAAAGCCTTAGGAGAGTTTAGATCAAGTATTGTATGTTTAACATTCTGTGGTTTTTACTCCTTGACAAATTGCAAAGCAGAAACCACCCAATAGCCTGTCCTGATCCCACCAACAACAGAACACTGAACCAAAGACCACTCGTGCTAAGCATAATGTTGGAAGAGAAAGCGAATGGAATATTCAGAACAGAAACTTTAGCTTCACTTAATTATGCTTTCTTAAGATTTAAAAAAATTTAGCTAGATGTTACAGGACTCTTCTGTAATCCCAGATTTCTGGGAAGCAGTGCAGGGCATCACAAGGTTAAGTCCAGCCTGGGCAACTTGGTGAGATCCTGTCTCAGAATTTAAAAATAAAATAAAAAAGGGCTGGGGATGTAGCTCAGTGTAAGGGCCCTGGGTTCTGTCCCCAGTACTTCCAAACACTTGTGTCTGTGGGATAATAAAGACCAAAAGTTTAAAACTTAAAAGTATGCTATAATTCAGTCGTTACCACTGGGGACTGACGGCTCTCTTATGTGGTCATCTGTTGTACCTGAGCTCTGTACTTTTTTCTGTGTAATTTCTCTTGGCCTTTTGAGGGATGGAATCTGAAGCATTTGGCCTTTGACAATGGGGAAAGATTTTGGTCGTGAAATTAGTATGAGCCTGGATCCTTTTATCTCCTGCAAGATTCCTTAGTTACACTTCCTCTTTTATAAATTTTGTAACTGGAAAAGTCCCTGATTAGCATTTGATGGGGGGGGCACATTTTCTCTCCCATATTCTTTTGGTTTTACAAGTGGTCAACCTGCTTGATTTATTGGGCTCTGACTTTCATTTATTCCAGTTAAACTCCTTGTGCTTTAGCTGTTGGCTAAGATGTTATCATGAGATACAC